GGAGCGCGCGGCGACCGAGCCCCGCAGTGACTGCGATCCCGTCAAGGGGTCCCGTCAGCGGGACCGCCCCGAGGCCCAAATCGCCTCCTGCCCCCCCCCCGCTGCCTGTCCTCAGGTGGCGCAGCGCGGGTCTCCCTCCGGGTCGTGAATGACCTCGGTGGCGCCATTTGCGCGGTCGCGTACAGCTTCGCCAGTGCTTGAAAAATAGTGCCGCGGCTTTAAAATGCCTTCTTTATTTAAATTCTAAAGTAAGCCTAAACCGCTTCGATTTGTTTACCAGTCGGTAATCTCGAGGCGGTCTTGTAGCCTTTTCGCTCTGGCTGTGAAAGATACTCTTTAAAGGGCTGTGGCAGAGCTCACAGTCATGAACTCAATACTTCTGTGTTTGTAGGATTTGGGCCAAAGTTGTTTGAGAAAAGGAATGAAAAATTAAGTCAGTATTCTTACTGGACACAAGAAAACTTGACATTTAAAAAATTTTTTACAGAAGCCACATTGTTAGTGCTGTTCGATGATGACGTACAGATTATCATGTCGATAAGTGGTAATTTATCTTTCAAGGATTGTTTTAAGAAGAGCCTGCCCCTTTTTATTTAAGTGCTTCTTCCCATCTGCACCTCTTGCAGGAGAAGAAGGTAAGTGTATGAAGGTGTTCAGGCACAGCCAACTGAAACAAACACTGGAGGAACTACACAAACTCTGCTGCATGCAAGGCAGAACATAAGCATGTTACCTTATTTTCGCTTATTTATTAGGCACTTAATGTTCCTGGTCTTGCAAAATGCAAAGAAGGGTGGTCCCTCTCCCCCAATTTAAAGAAGTGCTGTGGGTTAGAGAGGGTGTTCTGAGGATTAAACAGAAAGACTCCCCCAATTTAAAGAAGTGTTAGAGAGGGTGTTCTGAGGATTAAACAGAAAGTAGATGCTGTAATTTAGCGTATGTAATACCTGTAATCACCTTTCTGCAGTGCTGAATGGAGAAAGCAGTAAAATAACCTGGATCCATGCTTGCTAGATTTCTGAGAGGATTTGTGTGAGGAGAGGTGCAGCTGCTATTGGGATGTCCCAGATCTTTGGAGTCAGCCTGCGAGACGGCTGGTAAGTAAGAAGCGCCAGCAGCATTCCTGTGTGCACAGAGGCAAAGGAAGACAGCAAAGAGCAGAGGCTGAGGTGTGCATGGGTTTTGCAGAGGCCCAGGTTTTGTATGAGTGCACATGTGTCAGCACGCAGGTGGGAGTGCCTGGCCTGCAGCCCTGAGGAGGGGCAGCCCCACATACCCCAGCAGGGCTGCAAGAAGGAGCAGGACACATCTAGGCAAGGCTTGCTGAAGGATTGGGGCAGGGAGCCCAGTCTGCAAAAAGGGGGCTGTGGAAACAGAAGATCGTAGCGTGGTCAGAGCAGAGATAATATTTGCAGCTGTGTTTTGCAGATTTGAAGCGACAAAAATGGGAAATAAGAAAGCTAAAAAGGAGACATTTGCTTACTCCATGACCAACAGGATGCTGGTTAGGAGCCAAAAGTTTGATCGCTACCATTAGGTATACTGGTTAGTCATGAAGGTAGTGTAATGTTAATAAAAATTGCTAGATATGGAAGTCAACGTGTACGACAGAGTGGTGTAATCCTCACACCACTGACACATGCGTTCCCTGCTGCTCCTCTTTGATTGTCAATATTTCAGAAGTCTAGAAAAGACCCACTATTTAAAACCAAGAAAGTATTCCAGGCCTTGTATCCACTGAAGAGCTGGCCTCCATGTAAGACCACCAACAAAGGCTGTTAGTTCCCACAGATTACATGCTCAAGGATTCTTCTACATGTGGTTGCTGCCAACTTTTAACCTCTTCCAAAGGCCGTTTTAAACTTCTGAACAGTTAATGTGATAACAGGTTCTGCATTACCACCCAAGAATATCTACAGATCTGTGCAGCAAAGAGACAATTCAGGCCTGATGAGCAAATTGAGGCAGAGAACAGGTTGTGGGGAAAAGCCCACACACCCGAACACAGCATGTGCAGCCAGGCTCCTCCACCTTTGCCATATCAGGAACAACAGCGGCATCACTGCCTGGCATTGGCTATCCGGGAACACACCCTAAATTACAGACTACAAACAAGGCACTCAATTAAACTGTATTTACCAAATGTAAATTACGTTGCTGGAGAGAATTCACCCATGAACTAAACCAGAGACGTCTGGCTGGTTTCCACTGATGGCTGCAGAAGCAAGAGAAAAGTAGAAGGCCAGTAAGTAGTTACCCATAAATGTGTTAGCATTGACATTAACCTTAAGATAAATTAATATCTGTTAGGAACACAGAAATGGGAGTGACCTTTCTTCTTCACCAAGCCCAGTCCCGTACTGTTACAGGGAACCAAATCAAGTAAACCCTTTCATAAATTGATGATACTTCATTTTTGAAGTCAGGAAGCTGCTCAATCAGCAGCTGTTAGAGTCCCTGTCTTTGTGGGATAAAACCATGAAATGCATGGTTAGGAACTGTATGTAGAAAATGGATCTAAATTATAGTTATAAAGGTTTTAAGCTCAAAATCAGAAGATGGCAGATCTACAGTCTCTCATGCAATCTTAATTATGCTGCCTTGTGTATGTATTTTTTGCATAAATGATGCATAGGTTATGTGACAAAAATAGTATGAAGTTGCATAAGCAAAGAGTCTGTATTAATGTGCACGAAGAATGTTAAACTTTTGACAGCTGACTTTGCAACACAAGTAACTTTCTTTTCTAATGTAGTTTCTTTTGGAAGGTAGAACAAAAACTGTTTTCTGTTATGTGTGTCCCTGATGTGTGATATTTACAGGCTTGGAATAATGAACCTGTAGTGATAAAGTTTTTAACATTTCAACTACGGAGCTAGTGCTATAGTAATCATAAAGAATGCCTGCTGTCCTAGGGTGACATTGCCTCCTGTAGTGGTCTAGCAGAAATGCCCAGCCTGAGTGACCCCTCTTCTCCCATGAGCTGCTGCTAGCTCTCCTGGACTAAGTTAGTGCTGCTGGTGACCCAAGGGTGAGTGCTTCTCCCTATCAGTCACTGAGGAAAGGTATTTTGTACACAAAGCTAAAAAGAGACAAATTTCCTAATGAATGTCTGGCAAGTGTGACTTTTTCTGCCCGAAAATGAGACAACTGCTGAAGTGGAAAGGGGAAACCTCTACCTGAAATGTAACCCTGTGTGACAGTCTGTCATGGAGGAGTTCTTTGAAAAGACTGTGTAAATGGTGGTGCAAATCGAGTGGAGGTGGTACTGCTCTTCCATGTGTCCCTCTATGCATCCCTGCCATCTTTCCTGTGACAAATTTAATAATGATGTTGCTGTGCAGCAGCCAGAATGGCTTGCTGATCTGCCTGAAAATGAACACCCACCCTAAAAGCTTAGTTTCTTAATCTTTCTGCTCCAGCTTGCAGACTTCTCACCAAAGCTTCTTTACCTCTGTGGTGAGTCAGGTGTACAAAATCCCTTGTACCATGACAAAAAGATGTAAGACCTCTTAGTGCTCTCTTAGTGTTTCTGCACAAGTCTGTTCAGCTGACACTGTGAAATTTTTTTAATTTAAATTTATGTAAATGCTATCAACAACAGCTCTTTATTTCATTTGAAGCATAGAATCTTAGAATGGTTTGGGTTGGAAGGTACCTTTAAAGGTCATCTAGTCCAACCCCCCTGCAATGAGCAGGAACACCTTCAACTCAATCAGGTTGCTCAGAGCAGCCTGACCTTGAATGTTTCCAGGGATGGGGCATCGACCACCTCTCTGGGCAACCTGTTCCAGTGTGTCACCACCCTTTTTGTAAAAAAATTTCTTCCTTATACCCAGTCTGAATCTACACTCTTTTAATTTAAAACCATTACCCTTTGTCCTATCGCTACAGGCCCTGTTAAAAAGTTTGTCCCCATCTTTCTTGTAAGTCCCCTTTAGGTACTGAAAGGCCGCAATAAGGTCCCCTGGAGCCTTCTCTTCTTCAGGCTGCACAACCCCAACTCTCTCAATGCGGTCTTAAGTGCCAAAACCTTGATATTTTCACTTCCAAAAGGACTTTGGTATTTCCTGGAATTGTAACTTGTCCCTTCTCAGAATAGCAGTGGACAACATGCAACAGAGAGGATGTATCCCTATTTTCTTGATAATCCTAGCACCTAAAATGACTCTTACAAACTGAGGTACCCACCCAGTTCCTAGGATTCGCAAATTTGCTTTGGTCTGTAAGCCAAGGATTTGTCCATGTTACGCCTCTAATAGCATCTGATACTTTATAGAAATAAAAAAAACACACAAGAGTTGTCACTGGAAAACTTGCAGAGCCTCCACCCTTCCCCAGGCTGGAATTCCCACTCTTCTCTCTTTTGTATGTCAAGCTTCACTTGGTTCATTTATCAAATGACAACGTGGTTTCTGGCTTTATATAAAAAATGGCTGTGATGAGTCATAGACCTCCCCCTCCCTTGATTTCTTTTGATACTGCAATACCAAGTGCAAATGCAGTATTGACAACATTCCCACGCCTTCTTTGGAATTTAGGAACTTCTTGAAAACTGAGCATACGTTCCTTAATTAACAAGTTTTTTTGTCTCTTTGCTGGCTTTACCTCAAGTAATAACATATTTAATACAGTTGCAGAACTTCATAATTCATATTATTATTTATCAGAGCGACCAGATGTGATGCATTAATCATGAAAGTGGTACAGTTTTTCAGTATGGCTTTTCTAAATTACCTTTTGGTCCTTCCATTTGTCAGTTTGGGCAATTCTGACATCAGTTTCTACTTGCCTCTTCTCTTCACGGGGATACAAGCTGGCATCCAATTATTCTTTTTTTAAAAATGTTTTACCCCCTGTTGTTCAAAGTCAATTGCTTATTTGCCAGCATAAGAAAATATTAAGGAGAATGGTGCTGATTTATCATTAGTTGACTTGTTTTTCATCATAATAAAATAAAAAAGATAAATTGGACAACTACTGCTAAATTGCAAATATTCCTGTAACCAGTGAGATCTAATAATTATTAACCAGAGTGTCTGCTATCAAGCAGGATGCTTGAAACATTCATAATGTTGTGAACAGATACTCTATCATAGTACGAGCCTCCTAAAGAGTTGTTTCAACATTTCCAATGAAGCACCCCAGGGTCCATTAACCAAGAGCA